TTTTAATCGAGATTCGTGAATATGAATATGTAGTCGATTTCGTTTCTCTATTCTTCTATATATTTTATATATACATATAAAATATTTTATACAGAAAATATTATATTAGGTCTACCGGAAAGTTCTGTCCGTTTTTGGAATAAAACAAAATACAAATTTTTATTACCGTCAATAAACTTTATTAAATAATGTAATTGCCATTATTATTAATGATTTCTTGCCAGCGTGAGGGCAATTTGTATATCCCATTTTCGAAAAATGTTTTATCTTTTGATGCGAAAAATTGAACCAGTGCTTGTTTGATATCTTCTTCATTTTTGAATTTTTTGCCCCTCAAAAAATTTTGTAAGGACAAAAACAAGTGATAGTCGGAGGGTGCTAAGTCCGGGGAATATGGTGGATGCGACAGAATTTTCCAGCCTAGTTCTGCAATTTTTTGACGAGTATCCAAAGCAGCATGTGGCCTGGCATTATCATGATGCGGTATGATGTTCTTCCTATTGAACATCGCCGGCCTCTTTTCTTGGACTGCTGTATTTAAATTATCCAGTTGCTGACAATACTTCTCCGAATAATGGCAATTACATTATTTAATAAAGTTTATTGACGGTAATAAAAATTTGTATTTTGTTTTATTTCAAAAACGGACAGAACTTTCCGGTAGACCTGATATATTGATGGAAATTTCGATAGAGATTTGGAGGTTCCGCGAGATGAAATATCGTCGAAGGTAGAAGAAGAATTTGTCAAAATGTCAACAAAATTTACGGAGCATGCATGTATCACTAATATCTGCCATGTCATTTTGGCCGGCAACACAATAGAGTCGCAATTAATAGCTTTCTTTCGTACCTTGTTCTAATTAAGGCATCCCCGGTGTCTCATTACTCGTCAATCGCTATTACAGGGCCGGCGCGAAAGGACGGGCGTTTTCAGAAGTGAGCATAATAAATTGCACACATTTTTTATCTATATTTATTTAATAATGAAGGAGTTGTATTTTTAAGTCATAATGATATTTCTACATGGAAGTACACAAAAGATCGTCGACATTTTATCTGCGTAATAAAGTTGGAAACTGAACGCAGTTTTTTTTATGTATTTTTATTAGTCGGAATAATTTTATTACAATAAAAAATAATTAATTTTTTTACTAATTCTTTCTATACATTTTAGGAAAAGTGACAATCCTGCATATGCTTTTATAATTTTTTTATCGCACATACAACTTTAAAGATGCAACGATGATATTTAAGTTACGAACTATTAGATACAGATGTTAAAGCTACTTAAGGAACGTTATCCTTAACATATCCTCTTCGCAATGGAATTATTTTCAATTTTTATCCAGGTAATCTTTAATCAAGATCGCTAAACATTGCTTGTTTATCTAAACAATGACACAATGATCAATTATTGATACTTATATATAATTTGATTAGATAAGATACGATTACATAAGACTTGGAATTTTCTAAAAACACTGTTCTAAATCAGATATTTATATATTTATTTATTTTTATTTACTTTCAACTTGGAAGATACTAACGATTTCACGAGGATTTCTTTATTTTACTCATCGCCAGTTGTATCATATATATAGGAATATGTGTACATAACTTTCTCTTCTATTCTATCTATTATATTACGTATATTTTTTCAAGTGAGACAAAAATTAGATTGTCAATCTGTTCCTCTCTCGGACAATTAATCAATAGTAAAACTTTGTAACTTTTTCCTTATCTAGAGAGTTTTTCTATCTTCTTTTTAAAGAGAAACTAATTTTACTTAAACCGAAACTAATGAAAAAAACGACTAATTTTTCAGCTTGATATTTACGACAATGCGATTCGTTGATTCCTTAGAGGAGGATTCTATCGTGGCGCTGAAGAATCTATCGTCGACCCTGCGCGTTTCCTTGCTATTGGCCCATATTCGCCCAAATATCGCGCTCGTACTCAAAGCAGTTAGGGTCGCGGCCGCCAAAAGTGGTGAAGTGCCCGAGGCCGCGCTGTCACCCATGAAAGGACATCCTCGTCGACGAGGAGATTCCGAAGAGCGTTTCGTGGTTCCGTATTTCAAGGTC